ATCTGCTGGGCGGAGCTCCAAGCTTTCTTTCTAAAATGGATTGTGGTTTGATTGATTTTATGCTAGTAATGTTACGTCTTTATTCTCAAAATAAAATAAAAAAAATCTCTAGCTTGGCCCTAATACTCCGTCATAATATCTGGTATATCTGATGAAATTATAAAAACTTTTCTGTTAATTAAAGCATTTTAAATGCCACAATAATTAAATTTAATTAATTTTTTATGGAAATTAAGGCCTTCAATTAAAAAATAATAATTTAATTACTTTGAATGATTATTAATGACCCGCGGAAACCCTGGGAACTGGACCAGACCGGAACTGGGACCGGACCTGTGGTAAGCAGGGTTTCCGTCTCTTTAACCTCTTTGTTCTGCTGCCTATTGAGCAGATCAGTTGGGATCGGGTCATAATGAACCTCTGGACCTGCACTGTCACGTCACCTTCAATGGGGACCGGAAGTTGTATTCAAAGCCTTCGGGAATAGAGCGCCGGACGTGTTTGCCGCTGGATTAGAGTTTATTTAGAGTTTATGACTGTGTTAAACTGAACATATGAGTTTAAATTATACAGTAAGCAAAAATCCTCATCAGACAGCCAACCTCCACTGTCGTTGAGAAACTGTCTTATAGACCAAATCCCTTTTCCATCAAGCGATCCAAATACTGACTTATTTCTATGTTCTATATATCTATTATTTTAGATTGGAGTTTGGTGGGGAGTAAAATGGTGCGTGTACATAAGTTTCCAGCATAACTGTAACTACCCGATCCGTCCCTGAAGCACCATCCATCCTGCGCTGCGCTAACACAATAATAAGATCTGGACTGCCGAAAAACTACGTTTTTAATAACGGTACTAAAAATACTTATTTATATACGTAAAACATTAAGGACAAGAACAATTTAAGGTCAGATTGCCACACGCTTAAAAAAACACCAATAACTAAGTAATTTAATAGTTGTTTTTTACATGACTAACATGCAGTTGAGGTAGTGTAAAGTGTTTTTTTTAATACAAAACTAAAGGGATAAAAGAGTGTTGACTATGGGTATGCTGGTCTGACCGGATATGCTGACAGAACACCGGCGCCATCGGGTACATTGTTTGTTGTTTTGTTTGACCCGCTGGTAGCAGGAAACACCATGAGGATCCGAGCTGAAGGGGATCAGAACCTTACCTGCTGACCGGGTTTTCCTGAGAGCTGCAGGCTCAGGTACGGGTCATCCAGCAGGGAGCTGAACAAGGCATCCTGGAAGAGAACAAACCCAGTCAGCTTCTCCTAACTCACAACAACTGTAGGAACATCAACATTAGCAAGAAACCTAAACTGAAATCAGATAACTGTTATGTTATTAATTCAACTTAAAGGCAGTGAGCAGAGGCTCAGTGTTTATGAATGTAAAATGTATTTACATCCAACTTTTTAATTAAGGGGAATCAGTGGAAGCTTTGCACCTGAGGCTCAGGTTCAACAGGGAAACAGAGGAGTCGCTCGTCCGTCTTTGACTACAGAAACGGGCGCTGTAGCTACCAGATCTGCTGGGGTCCTGCTTCATGCCAGCGACGTTACGCTACATGACGTAAAAACGTTGTGGTCGCCCAGACAACGATAACATCACGCAGCATCGTGGTGTCAAGTCGGGAGCATCTGTAGCGTTAGCGCATCTAATGATGAAGTTTTACCTGATCAATAACAAAACTGAATAAAATCTGTTTCTGGTGAACAAAGTAACTGTTAGACTGTGATATAAAAGGCTGGGTAGCGCTGTGGCTAGCTGCGCTCAGTAGCTAACAGGTTAGCCTCTTTTAGCTCGGTCAGTTAAGGCTGACCGATAGTGAGGGTTTTTTTGTGCTGCGCGGGGGCATAAACTGGCCTTTAATGTTTCTAAAAGTGCTTTGTAAGCAGGTGAAAGGTTATTTCTAAGATCACCTCCTCTGTTGAGAGATGGGTTTTATTTTGTCTTTGTTTATGCTGGGACAGCTGTCAGTCTGCTCTGAGACACACTTAATATTATCAGCGTTCTGATGGCATTTTAGCAAAAAGATTTTTATCAAAAACATAATTAATGTGCAGAAATAAGGAAAAGTTGTATAAACATTCATTGAAACAGAGGTTTATGGGGCCCCCAGGAACTTGGGGCCCTATGCAGCTGCCTAGTATTGCCTGATAAAACGATCCAGTCAGCTGGATTCTGTTGGGACCAAGCTGAGGGTTTCTGTCTGCTCTAATCCGTGTTGGTGACGCCGGTCCGTGTTCTGGTCCAGAGAGGAACCAGAACGACAGATCGGGTCAATGTTAGCGCCATGCTAACAGCAGACATCGCTGCGAACACACCAGACCTTTGTGTTTGCAGAGTTAACTCACGTTGTAGAAGTCTGTGTTCAGGTTGATCTGCTGCTGCTGCTGCTGCTGCTGAGGAGAACCACCAACCCGCTGCTCCAGGTCCGCTTTGACCCGGCACAGAGAAGACGTCTGGATGCACGGCTCCACAGCGCCCTCCGACTTCACCCCCGTGTTCTGCTGCGTTCCCATGGGCCTCTGAGGCTGCAGAGGAGCAGAACCGGGTTAAAACAACAGAAAACAGTCCTTCCGGAGCGAATCAGGCGCTCCACACCCACCGATCCAAAGTGCTGCTGAAGGTGCTGGTTCCGCAGGTTCTGCAGGTGGAGCTGCTGCTGCTGCTGGGCGTTTGATCTTGGCTGCTGGAGGCGGTGCTGACCCAGAGAATGGGCCTGCTGTCCAGACTGGGAGCCGGGCTGGTGCTGGTGGGACTGGCTGAGCGGGTACGGAGGGAGGCGCTGGTCCAAAGGCAGCTTGCTGGTGTCCAGAGGGACGCCCTGCGGGGGACAGACAGGAAGGCAGCTAACATGCAGTGAAAGAGAGACGTCTTAAACAGGGACAGCAGCAATAGGGTCAGAGTCCAATTACAGCTGGAGGATTTAACCAGCGTCTGACTGACGTCACAAAATCTGCTAAAACGCTGCAGGATGCTGAACTTTCTATGGAATTATTCTATTCTGGGTTTATAGAGAAATCCATCCATCCATCCATCCATCCATCCATCCATCCATCCATCCATCC